CGAATTCATGGTTGCCTATTCTGATTTTTTTGATTTCTGGGTTTTATTCTTTGATAGAACTCCAAGGTGGGTCTTGCAAATTCATGGCGGTTTCTAGCTAAAGTCCCATTTCTTTTCTGGTCCGTAGTCTCTCTCTCTCTCTCTCTCTCTCTCTCTCTTTCTCTCTCTCTCTATATATATATATATCTATATATCTATCTATCTATGTGTGTATGAATATTTGATGGGTTTTGGTTTTGATGATTTGTTTTGGGTATGAACAGAGAAGACTGATGTTGAGGAAGAGATCAAGAGCAACAAGTAAGCAAGCTCTAATGGCGGATCATGGTTATTCACCATCACCGAAGGAGCCTTTTCTTTTGTTTCTTGAATTTTTTTCCTTAGGCATTAGAAAGGTAGGCCTCTTCTAGATTCCTCATATCATGCTCATGTCACAAAAAAGTTATCATAGTCCCTTCAAATGCTTCTTGACTTGATGCCTTTTTGTTCTTAAAAACCTCCACTTCTCTGCATTTCCTCCTCAGAGAGAGAGAGAGAGGGTTGTGAATTCTATGGCTTTCTAGCTATGTCCACCAATTGTTCACTATACCACCATGAGAGCTAAGGTACAGACCCAAAGAGGGATGCGCCGCAGTGAGAGAGAGAGAGAGAGATCAGTGAGAGAGAAAGAAGAAGAAGAAAAGAGAAGGAAAAAAAAAAAAAACCCTCCAAAACGACGTCGTTTTGGAGGGGTTTTGGCGGGCGACAGGGACAGGAAAAGGCGACGGAGGATCCGGATTCGTTAGTGAATAGCGACTCTACAGAAATAATTAATTATTGTATACAAAATCATTTAGCCAGGTTTATTTTGAGAAATAAATTAAAAGTCAATTTTTTTTATAAAAAAAAATATGTAAAAAAATAAAAAGGTGATGTGATCTTAAAAAATTAAAAAGTTAACTTTTATCCCAGATGCCAAAATAAACTGACTAATTTATTGGAGGGAGTTTTCGAATTCGACTAGTTATTTTAGCTGAATTGATGGTTTGGCCGGTTTGTTATGGATGTTCTCATGATTTTGTCTTTGAATTTTAGTTATAAAACAAAACAAAAAAAAAGTATATATATAACTTATAAATATTTTTAATATGATTACTCAAATCTTAATTTTTCATATGCAAAAAGTTGCAAAAATCATGATTATTTGAAATTAGGTTGTCATCTCCTCAATTCGAGTTTAGCAAAATAGACTTTTTTGGAAATGGAATTTTAAAAAATAAGTAAAATTGTTAACTGTAATGAAAGTGTTAGCTATATATTTTGTAAAAGCCAGTTACAATCCGACACGTGGCAGAATAAGGGTATTATTGGAAAATAATTCAAGTCTCCAATCCTGATCGTACACGTGGTGATGATAATTGGTTCTCACATGGTCTGAGCAACATTGGATCAGTAAAGAAACGCAAGGTGACGTGGCTTCAATGGTTACTCATATTCAAATTCAAATACAGGAGGGAAGCCTAACTGCAAATGGTGGCATAATGGAGCTTCTTCTAAGGCAACATGATCAGCGATCATGGAGGAGCAGTTCGACGGTTCGAAGAGCAGTTCGAAGGTCATCTTTGACAAGTATAAATAGCAGAGAGACCCCCAGGAAAAAGGAGGGGACTCAGATCATACATACCAGTCTTTATTTCATATTTTGCTTTCCAGTTTTACATTCCTGTACTTTCAATACCTGCACTTTACATATCTGCACTGCACTTCAATTCGTAGGAGTGATCTCAAGTAGATTCAAGTAGACTGTTACTGTAAACCTCTTCGAGGCTGAGTTTGGACTATTGTAAGTTTTTCATTTTTATGAAGTACTTCCATTGTTCTTCATATTAATTGTTATTTCTCTTAATTTCTCCTAAGTTAAGCCACCATTAAAAGTCCTCTTCATTGAGGCTGAAAGAACTAAAACACAATCGTCTGGTAATTGGTTGGCAATCACAATTTCTGTAAGGACTGATTGATCCTTGCTGGCACGCTCACATTTACAAAAATACCCTTCGAAAAGCCAAAAAGCCAATAGAAAGTAGACAAAATCATTTCCTTTACAAAGGCTTTATTTGAAAAGTTAACTATTTTAGTTGATTATTTAATTTTTTTAACTATTTTAACCTAATTAAAATAATTGTATTTGAGAAATTGATTACCTTTTTTTGATAGTTTATTTGATAGCGTGAATGAAAAAGTGAAATAATTATAAATTAAATGTAACACTTTATCTTATTAATTATTTGGATAAATTACATTGACACCCCTGAGGTTTATGTTTATTACAATTCTTCCATCACCCTTTAGAAATTACATCTTCCCTCCTGAGGTTTAAAGTTTCAGTACAGATTCTCCCTCTGAGCAATTTAATTTTTTAAATACCAATTTTTTCCTAATTGGGTAAATTACATTGACACCCTTCACATTTTAGAAATTACAATCTCATCCCTAAGGTTTAAAGTAGCATTACCAATTGCCCCCTCGGTTAGTATTAGTTGAAAAAAAATTCATTGAAAAAATATTAATTTGAAAAAAATTATTTGAAAAAAAAATTAATTGAAAAAAAAATTTGTTAGTAAAATTTTTAAATTTTTGTTTAAAAACCAATGTAAACTCATTTTTTGAATTTACTTTTTTTTCTCCAATTTACAAATTAAGACAACCATTTATAAACTAAAAAAATTATCAAATAAGTTTTTATGACAGTTTTTTAAATTTTTGTAAATATAAATTGAAAACTGAAAAAGAAATGGTTATCAAATAGGCCTTAGATTGTAAAAATGTCGTAAAATTAACAAATAAGTAAATAAGTTACCAATGTAAGAAATGACTTATCAAAAGATTCTTAGGCCATGTATGGTTTGATTTTTAGAAAAAAAATTTAAAAAAACAAAAATTAATTTGGTTAAGAAATAAAAAATAAAAAATAATTATCATTTAAGGGTAAAAAATAATTATCATTTTAACTTTTGGACAGATTATATACATACGTATGGCTGTTTCAATTTAATTTGTAAAAAATTATTTCTAACCACTCGAAAGATAAAAATTATATAAAAATGATAATTATTTTTTATTTCTTAACCAGATTAATTTTTAATTTTTTTAAAAAAATTAAAAATCAAACCATACAACACTTAAGAATCTTTTGATAAGTCATTTTTTACGTTGGAAACTTATTTAATTATTTGTTAATTTTACGACATTTTTACCATCTGAAACCTGTTTGGTAACTATTTCATTTTCAATTTTCAATTTATATTTACAAAGATTTTAAAAACTGTCATAAAAACTTGTTTGATAATTTTTTTTTAGTTTATAAATGATTGTCTCAGTTTGTAAATTTGAGGAAAAAAACGTAAATTCAAAAAATGAGTTTATGTTAGTTTTTAAGCAGAAATTTAAAAATTGTACTAACAAAAAAAAATTTCAATTTATTTTTTTTCAATTAATTTTTTTTTCAATGAATTTTTTTTCCAACTAATACTAACCGAGGGGCTAATTGATAATGCTACTTTAAACCTTAGAGAGGAGATTGTAATTTCTAAAATATGAGAGGTGTCAATGTAATTTATCCAGTGAGGGCAAAATTGATATTTAAAAAAATTAAATTGGTGAGGGAGAAATCTATAATAAAACTTTAAGTCTCAAAAAAGGAGATATAATTTTCAAAAATTAAAAAAAAAATTATAATAAATATAACTTCAAGAGATATCAATATAATGTACCTTAATTACTTTAACTTATTTTATCTTTTAATAAATTATTTTATACCAAATCCCCACCCAAACCAGCCAAAAGCGTGCTCATTGAGCGAAAGGTGAGAATCATCTCATCTTGGTAGTGTTCATTTTGTGTCAGTTTGAATTTGTGTGAAAATTCTCTAAGTCAAAAGTCAAAAAACTATTAAGCTGTTTTTCATTAACAAAAAAAAAAATTAAATATTACATGAACATTTTTACTTACTAAAAAATAATTTATTAACAATTTACAAATATATTCAACGTGTTTGGTTTGAATTTTCTGGATTAAATTTTTTGAAAATTTAGTTTTTTAATTTTTGTATTCTTTTATTTTTAGTGAATATTTTTTAAATTTGAAACATTTTTTTACTTTTTTAGATGCACCTTAGTTAGATGTATCTAAAAAATAAGAAATTGGTGAAAAAATATTTTAAAAAATTAATAAATACATAAAAATACAAAAAATGTACTGAATTCTTGTATTTTTTTTATATTTTTGTATTTAGTGAATTTTTAACATAAAAATATAAAAAATGTACTGAATTCTTGTATTTTTTTATATTTTTGGTATTTAGTGAATTTTTAAAAGATTTTTTTACTTTTTAAGTGTATTTATGTTAAGTATGTTTAAAAAGTAAAAAAATTGCTTAAAATATTAAAAAAAATCATTAAAGTGTATTTATGTTAGGTATGTCTAAAAAGTAGTAAAAAAATTGCTTAAAATATTAAAAAAAATTCAGTAAAAAAAAAAACACTGAAAATAAGAAAGTAAAATTTTCTAAAAAGTGTTTTCTGAAAAATAAAAACAAACAAGCTGATTAATTTTTTTAGCTCCTAAAAATAAAAAACGCACAAAAAAAAAAAAAAAACGAATAGCCACTATGTCATTTTGAATTTGCATATTCAAAAATTGAAAATTTGAAATTATTAATTTGATCATTTTCAAACCTTCATATATTGAAAACAATTAAAAAAATTTGTATTTAAATTGACAAAATTAAAATTTGAATGTTTATTTTATTACAGTAGTCAAATTCAGAGATTTTTTTTATATATAATTTTTCCTAACATAATATTATGACTAAGAATTAAATTTTTAAAAAATAATTTATAAGAAATGAGGTTTAGTTATCCATATAAAAATTACTCAATAACAATATTCAAATCAAAATAATTTTTTCTTTCCTAATTTTCCCTTTTTTTTTTCTTTCCTTACAGTTTACCACAAAGGAATAATTTCATCCCAAGTTCTCTCAAAAAAACCCTCCTTTCCTCTTCCTCTTGGTATTCAGCCTCATAAAGTTCTTTGCTTTCTCCTCCCACCCAAACTCCAACCCTCTTCTCTAGCCTACAAATCTATTGCAAAAAGTAGTGCCTTTTCTTCAATTCTCAAAACTTTTCAAACCCCCCTAAAATCTGACCGTTATAAACCTTTGACAGAGACAGATTGATATATCTGATTAAGATTTTGAGGATGGTGAAGATGACAATAGTTGGAAGGGTGAGTGATGGGTTGCCAATAGCACAAGGTCCAAGGTATGTGAATGAAGAGGATGAAAATTTCTCAAGTTACAAGCAACAAGCAGAGTTCATACTCAAAGAAATCTCAAGAACAGGGTCTTCATTGGCTCCTTCTAAGATGACCATTCGACTCGATCTCCACCACCATTGCTTCAAGTATCCTTTTCTTCTCTTTTTATTTCTAAACATATTGATGGCTAATCCAAATTGAATATTATGCGTCAATGCACATCATTCTTGCAAATTTATTTTCATCTTTGTGGGTATATAGTCCGCGTATGAATACAGAAATTAAACACAAAATTCAAATGATTTTATAAGATTTCTTCATAGAATAAGTTCACTTACAAATACAGAAACCAGACACACAATTCACAAAAATCGTAATTCTCTATCTAGTTCTTGTGACTAGTTTATGTATTCTTAAATTTATTCATTTTTCAATAAAATCGGACGTAAACTAAACACGAAAAGAGTTCGAGAAAAAAATGGTGTGTATGTATTCTTAAATTTATTCATTTTTCAATAAAATCGGACGTAAACTAAACACGAAAAGAGTTCGAGAAAAAAATGGTGTGTGGGTCCCACTTCTCGTCTTCTTTTTTGTTTGAAATTTTTTATATTTTCTTTCTGTGTAAGCAACACAGCTAGATGTGGATTGGGATGGCCCGTTCAAATATTTTTATACGTTTCATTTGTTTTTAAAAAAAAAAAAAAAATGGTTTACTGAAGAGAAATTAGTCTTTTTGAATTGTTGTATATATCATTTCTGGTCATTTTTGGGTAATTGCTTGAAGTGGTGTTAACGAGATAGGTTTATGCATCCAAATGCCACTTAAAGTTAATTTTGAAATGATTTCAATTCTTAAGATAGGTTTATGCATCCAAATGCCACTTAAAGTTAATTTTGAAATGATTTCAATTCTTACTATATCCAAATTAATGCTCCTCTGTATACATAAAAACATTTAAAAACTAAAAAGAAATAAAATGACAAACTGTGCTTTAATATGTAGCATTTTCCTTCCAAACATGGGTTGATTATTTTCCTTAATTTCAGTTAATTTTGTGGTGTTAAGCTGTGTGGTTGAGAATGGAGTTTGCTTCATCACATTGTGTGATTCTTCATATCCAAGAAAACTGGCTTTTCACTATCTACAAGATTTGCTCAAGGAGTTTGACAAGTTCGATATGAGCCTTCTAAACAAAATTACAAAACCATACAGCTTTGTCAGATTTGGTAATCTAGTTTATTTTCCAGTGTGTGAAATATTTCTGTACTTAACATCCTAGATGAGGAATTTGAGGGAAAACTAGGGAAATTATGTATAGCATTATCAGGATATGAATTGGTTTCAATCAGGTGAAGTGATCACAAAAAAAAAATTACATAAAAATGATAACCTTACAGAAATTTTATAAAAACTTTTTGACATATGATGTGGCAACCACATTTTTGAAAATGTAAGTTTTCTTGATAGGTCTTTTGTTTTAAAGTGATAAAATCAAGATTTGTCACATTATTCTATGTTTCTATGTTGATTTACATCATGTTTTTAAAGTCATCATCTATGAAAAAGAGTTTTATAGCAACTGAACGAACTTAATGAAGTAGGCCGTAAGTTGCCTATAAACCAATACTTATTGAGAACTGCCGGTACCCAACTGATTTTTATTCTCACCAATATCAAGGTGTATTGGTATTGAGAAGCCAAAAGAACTTATACATATTGGCCAATATTTAAAATCTTGCTATAAAATCTAAAAAACTGATTCGTATAGACTGAAATTGATGATTTTGTGTTGGCTAGCAGATGGAATTATTGGCAACATAAGAAGGCAGTATACAGATACAAAAACACAGTCTAATCTGTCAAAGCTAAATGCTAATCGTCGACAAGATCTTGATATCATTACACTAGACATGTCCACAATAGTAGAAAGAAGGCGAAGATTGGGTAAACTAGCTTCCCTTTCCTTGTTTTGTGTTCTTGGTACTGTTAATTCTATTGAATTGCATGCATTTAAATTCATGAACATAATGAAAACTTTGTGATTTTTTTTTTTTATCAGAAATGTTGGAAAAGGCAATGGCAACTCCTCCAACTGTTTCACCAATATGGTGTTCCCCATTACTTGAGGTATGTATGTATGTGAACAAATACAGACCTGTGCATATAACTTCTCTCTGGTGCAAGAAGACAAACTGATTAGTTGAGCTTCTGGCAAGTTATAAACTGATAATCTAAACATAGCACTTAAAAGTATGAGCAGGATTTTTTTTGTCACTAAATTCTTCTATTTTCTTATTTCAATGCACTTCTAATTATTGGATTATACATCGAGGTTCATATGTCTCGAGATTTTCACATGATCCAATGATTAAGGATGTAATAGGTCAAAGACAGAGGAATTTGAAGACAGAATCCTTGGTCAAATGCAGGCACAGGATCCTCTATCTCCAAATCCTTATATCCTTCTGTCCTGATGCATTCCTAACCATTAGATCATATCTCGAGAGAGTCACATTTCTTGAGATTCTTACATGATCCAATAATTGGGATTGCATTAGGATAGAGAGAGAAGAAGAATTTAGGAATACAGAATCCTTAGTCTTTAAAGCCATCCCCTACACATCTACCCAATAATCCTTTTTTTTTTGTTTTTTCTTCAACTTATTTGATGTCATTTTTGTGTTTGTAAATAAAAGTTGCACTAAACACTATTACATGAACTTCCAATTTTTTTTAAAAAAAGATTGTACGCCCCCATAATCTAAACACTATTACATGAACTTCCAATTTTTTTTAAAAAAAGATTGTACGCCCCCATAATCTGCACCAAATGGGTCTTTGTATTGAACTTCCCAGATTTGCCTTTCATCATTTAAGCAATCAACGGAGTACAATTCATTTGTTCTGGGGGGAAGGAAAAAAAAAAAGAAGAAGAAGCAGAGGACAATTCATAATTTCTAATAGTAGTTTTGAATTTATTTACCAGGTAATTGCAATGAAATGGACACCCATTACAATCATGGTTATTGTTGCCTGTATACTTTTCTGGACCTGCTTAGTCGGCTCTGATAACTTCACAGTAGTGACTTCCTAAAAGTTCCTCAAACCAGGAATATAAACATTCATCACTTAAAGAGTGCAATACAAAGAAATGATTCAGCATTGCCTACTGTTGGAAGAACTGTATTGTTGTGCTATGGACCTTGTAGATACATTTGAAATGTTGATTTGGTCAATCTGGATTTATTTTTGTTGTGAAATATGCAAGAGATGTACATTGATTTTAAGTCTTGAATATGAATGAATAATCAATTCTTCGCGAATTGGCTCAATGGATTCAAGTTCAAAATACTTGTATAACATTGTTGTAGGCTGCTTAGGCACATTGTGCAAGTTCCAAATTTGTTTTTGAAGTTTCAAACCCTCTGCTAATTGTAAGTTCTTTCATGTGCAAAATTGCATATATTATTTTATTCCGCTATAATACTATTCTGTGATTGATTCAGCTTTTGTGAGTCAGGATAACTTATTCTACGGGTCTTTTTATCCTACATATGTTGTTGGGATTTATTCTCCAATGGAAAGGTGAGACAATTTATCCCGAATCACTTTGTTGGTGCAAAATGACTAAAACACCAATAATTTCTCTGGATATGCTATTTGTCGAATCCTATCTACAATCAACCAAGTACCATTGCGTATAACCATAGTCAAATTTACCTATGTAGTTGAAAGGAATCCATTTTGTTCATTTATTTTGCAAAATCACAACCGTAAAGGTTTTTCAATAAATGACATCATCTTTGGGGATTGTAGAGGGAAAAAATTCCACTCTTAATGCTGTGTTTGGTTGGGGGATTTGGAGAGGGATTTGGAAAGGAAAAGGGAAAAGGTGTGTGAAACTATGTGAAATATAGGCATGATTTATTCACATTTCACCTACCTTTTCCATTTCTCTTTCCAAATCCCTCTCTAAATCCCTCAACCAAACACAGCATAAGTGTATGTACTCGATGTATGTCTGAAATGAAGCTATGATCCTGTAAGATAAATCATCCATGCCCAAGGCCAGTTGTTGGATGGCCAGAGGGCACTCCAACGCTATTATGTCAATGCAAGAATAGGATTTCTGGAGAGAATTCATAGCATATAGCTCAAAGTTTGTAGCAATTGTTTTCATACCCCTCCCCGCTACTAGAGTAGATGAGCTTATATACCTTGTATGACTTATCCTCAAGTCATAACATGGTGGTGCCATACCTGAATAGTTAACTTCCTGTCCAACTCTAGGCAATAATCTCCTAACTCTAGGCAGAATCTTCCGACAACCATTATGAGTATCTCCATTCATCATAAGGAATGTGCCTAAGCACTTTTGCCTATGCCGACCACATGAAACTTTTTATCATTGGGCTTTCAAGTTCATAGGATCAGGCCCCTGCACACACGTCCTATCTATGTTTAAGCTTCACCTCCCACAAGGACAATATAAATCAATCTTGATGAGAATTTTGATTCATTGAGGCCCGAAATACTTGAGAAAGACCATCAATATATTGGGGATCGCTAATTTTTACAGAAACAACAAATGCATTTGTGACTTCATTGTATGCAACAGAAATAAGAAGTGTTTTGAGAAACAACTCCATGGAAAAAATACCCTCTGATTAAACTTTCATGACTTCCTATATGCCTAATCTACATGCTTTTCAAAGCAAACAACTAAAGATGGCCTTTTCTTTATCATATATGATTTTCAATGGCCAGTTTTATTAGTATATCAGAACTGTTTCTATCTAGACGAGTAGTAACTAATTACTGTTTCTTCTTGCTTGATGTTGCTTATACACCCCTCACATAAACACATCACTGTCCATGTTGAAATGGCTACACATATCATCCTCAGTGATAAAATTAACAAACTGGTCTTCTTCTTCGGATTTGAATTGCGGATTAGACATTTCATCAGCAGTACCGGAGCCATTGCTGAGTTCTTGATGAAACTTGCCACCAAATGCTCCTTCGTTCATTAACAAACAGTTCAAAAAAGAATACTGGTAGTTTGGATCATCCTTGGAAACTGCTGGCCGACCTGAATTTGTCAAGTCCTGGCCTTGAAATTGATCTAGTGAGAGCCACTCAGCAAATAAAAGTTTTGGCAACTGTGATATGGACTCGTTTGTTTCCATTGATGTTCCTTCCATGTTATCAAATGATTCGAAACTTAAATTTCTAGTGGTGGACTTCAGCGAAGAAAGGGAAGATTGTGTGTTTCCAGTGTTTGGATTTGTATATTCAGGTTCAGTATGAGGTTTAGTTTGTTCTATTTTGGCCATTTTCTTCTTCTTCAGATAAGAATGCCAGTAGTTCTTGATCTCATTGTCGGTTCTTCCAGACAAATGCTGGGCTATCTGAGACCACCTGGGCAACGACAAATCATATGACTCCGTTAGTGACAATTCTACTAAGAACCCAAAAAAGTGGTCAAAATTTAAAATATAGGATGGAATTTATCTACTCACCGGTCATTTTTAATTTTACTATCTTTTAATTCATTTATTTTTAGAAACTAAAATGACATAGAACACGTACTTTTGAGACCAAAGTGAGACGGAACACATACTTTGGGGATCATATGTGCATTTTATTATCATTTCGTTAACTATTTAGAAGGTCTGTTTGAAATTAGATTAAATTGATTCAAATTGAAAATTTTGAGGATGAAAATTAACAAAAATTGAAACTTAAAAGATCAAAATAACACAAAATACAAAATTGAAACTTAAAAGAACAAAATAACACAAAACACATACTTTAAGAACTATAAGGCTATGCTTGGATACAAATACAGCCTAAATATATTTTATCCAATTGTTTTTAATTTGAAAGTACATTCTCTCTGCTTACTTGTTGCCTAACATGCCATGAAGGGAGAGGATTGTCTCCTCCTCATGAGCAGTAAACATCCCTCTCTTTAGTCCAGGCCTCAAGTAATTTATCCACCTCAGTCTGCAACTCTTTCCATTCCTTTCCAACCCTTCATATAATGCACAAAAAGATCAAAAAAATTCAACTATATGAGGTTATGCTAGATAACTCTTGATGAGATTTGGCAACATTAGCACCAAATTAATAATGGGTATTAAAAAAAATTAGCTTGGTAGCTAAGAAGTGTGATCAACTAGAAAGTTACCGGCATTGATTGGGATGGAGCTCCAGCAGCCGTGACCATTGTTGAGGATGTAAGTTCTGAGCCTCTGGTCTTCATCTGGTGACCACAACCCTTTTCTGTGCTTCTGCTTTTGCTTTTGATCCACTGCCTTATACCCCATTTTTTTTAGCAGACCAAAAATATTAGTATTGAAGAAGACAAACAAGTATTAGTAAACTTAACACGGTAGATATATGTATGTTTGCACTATAGCTTCTGATAGAGAGAGAAAGAGATGACGACGACTAGGAGACAAGGATGGTGAGGTTATGGAGAGCATTTGGAATTTAAAGGGGAAGATTATTTGTAACAATTATTATTTTTTTTCAGAATAAACAATTATCAGTGATAGAAATTGCAAGCTTGTCTTTTCATTCTTTTTTCTTCTTCCTCCTTTTTTTTTTATTTTTTTTTTTTTAAACAGTTAAAAGAGGGTAGTACTATACAAATCAAAAATTTATACACAATTTTGATGCAAAATGATGTGGCAGTCCTGAGCCCTATTGTAGTAAAAAAAAATAGTCCATCAATGTAACTTGTATTTTCAAAAGATTGAATTTTTCTCTCACACTCACATTTGTAAGTGTTTTTCTAATGCATATAATGTGAAGAGAGGTTTATAAGTAATTATATTTAAATGGTTGCAGTTAGAACAGATTTGAAGATCTTAAAATGCCAACATTGCCTTGTACTTTGAAAATTCTATCTTAAGTTTGATTATTTGGTGTCATTTTCAAAGAAAATGCAAGAGTGCAAAGTGTAATTAATTCCTTATTTTTTTATTTTTTTTCCCCACAAATTCTTTTTCAATTCCAAAATCTGAACACAATCATAGTAAACTTTTTAAAAAGGAATCTAGTGTTTTAAAAATTGCAAACCAGCACTATCTTAATCCTCAAGACTAGATCAATAATATAAAATGGCTCATGATTCTCATTTGGTGCAAAATAAAATGAGTCTGAACCAATTTTTTTTTTTTCTCCTTATAGCTTTCATTCCAACAGCAACATCACAACCACTATAAATAAATTCTAAATTGAATGTTTAATGTTAATTATTACCCAATTAGCTCTCAATGGAACGTTGAAAAACCCAAGTGGGGAGACAAAACAATGCTATAAAATTGGAACATGTGATATGTGTTTTGTTACACTACATGTGAACCCACCGTGTTCTGATTGTGATCAATGATTTTATTTTTCAGACAAAAGATTGTGATCTCCAAATCAATGACTTGATGAAGTGGACAACTCTGTTAAGTTATTTCTTAATTTAAGATTAGAAATCAAAATAAAGTAATGAAAATTAACAGGAGTTGGGTGAGTGGTAAGTTTTTTTTCGTTTTTTTCTTTTTTCTTTGATTAATGTATGATATTACAATCAAAACTAGCCAATTACAACAATAATAAAGATAAAAAAATATATAATTAATACCAAAAAAACCTTCTAAAATGAGAGAGAAAAACTTCAAATAAATATATTGGAAATTAGACTCATATGTAAGTTGAGAGTTTTAAATCATTAACCTTCTAATGGTCAATAGGCTAGCCCCGTTAGTTGGCTGTGTGGTTGTTAGTACTAAAAATATTAAATTTGGCATGTTAACAGAGTTGCTGACATAGTTTAGGATTTTTGTTTAATGTCTAGGATAAAGGTTTATAAAGTGGATAGGTGTCTTGATGTAAGAGGTGTGCAAGACATGTGACCAAATCAAGCAAACAGTCAAAAGAGACGGCAGTTATTGGTAGAGATGGCAATTTGAACTTGGCCTAATGGGGACTCGATCCCCCGATTTCAAATTGAGCGGGTTTTTTTCGAAAAATACTCCCAACGGGACAGGAATGGTATTCAAAAATCAATCCCCGAACAGCTTCGGGCCGGGGACGGGGATAAGTGTCCCAGCCCTGTACCCGGCCCGGCCTCATCTCCATTTCCCAGCCCGGTTTATTCCTGATGTGAAATTACTATTTTACCCCTACATATATATATAAACCAAACCCTCCTCTCACTTTCACTTCTCTCTCTCTCACAGCCGCATCTCTCATCTCTCTCTACCTCACTCACTGACTTCTCTCTCTCTCTTAGATCCACCACCACCGCCGTCCAGCTCACACTGCCGCTTCACCTCCGTCATCGACTCTCCACCTCCGTCCACCTCGTCACTCTTGCACCTCTCCTTCACCTCTGTCTACCTCGCACTGCCGCTCCACCTCCTCCGTCGTCCATCGCGCCGATCTTCTCCGTCGTTCGTCGCAGTTCCATCGCCTCCATCGTCCTCTCTCTCTCTCTCTCTCTCTCTCTCTCTCTCTCTGTGACACACTCAGATACACAAATCTGAGATATGTTATTGTTGATGATTTTGTTGATCTCAGATTTGAGATCTGTTGATGATTTTGTTGATTGTTGATGATATTGATGATGAGATCTCAGTCTCAGATCTGTGTTGATGTTGCTTCTGTTGTTGTTGTTTTTTTTTTTTTTTTTTGGCTCGGGGAATTTTCGAAGTCAGGGAAAATCCGATCCCCGTTAAGGGACGGGGACAGTGATAGATTCCCCGTCAGGGATCGGGGCCAGGGATGGAAAGTGTGGTCCCTGGCCCCGCCCTGCCCCGTTGCCATTCCTAGTTATAGGTATTTATAGTGAGTGGGGGCAACTTTCCAAGTGGTGGAAAGAGCATGCTTGCATGTATCAAGGAAGGACACGTGGCTGCAATAATTAAGGATTGCGCAAAGGAACAAAAATTTGAAATCGAAGGAAGAAAGGCTGATCAATCACATTCACAACATTTTTGTGAAGCTAAGAGTAGTAATAGCAGTTGGTTCTATGAGTAGTTCTTCTATAATTAGTTCTTAGTTTGTAACTTGTTATTTTGTTTTGATTTTGGCTTTTGTGATTTGTAATTTATAATATTTTCGGTCACTTAATACAAGTTTTAATTTGTTAATTCCTGTCGATTGCCTTCAAAAAAGTTCTTGAATTTATCAAGGCATAGAATTCAACCACAAAATTTGATATTTATTTCTATTTTTGTGAGATTGTGAGTTTTTTGTTGATTAATTTATGTCAATCTACTTTAAATCATAATTTTATTAATAGTGGTAAGTTGAGTTGTGATAAGCACACAATACACAATTTAGCATCTCATGTAGGGTTGAGGATCCTGTGTCCTAAAAATTCTCTGGTTCATTATTCCAATTTACTCATAACTGTTGAATTATAAAAGAATTTGAAGGTACGAAAATCTTGGCATATAAGTTAATCACAATAATAAATTGAGATAGCCAGACAAGAATGTTTTTGGGTAAAGGATTCCTTATCCTAATGAAGTGTTTGACCTCCTTGAAGGCCATAGGATTATTTTGGGAAGATAGTTAATCAGTTTTTTAGTTAAAAGTTGATTATAATTAGCTTTATGTCGATGGGGCTGGTTTTGACATTTGATATAGGACTCTTTATATATATATATATATATATATATATATATATTTATTTATTTATCTTTTTTGTTTTTGTTTTTTGGATAGTGCTTAAAAAAAGGTTACTTTCATATATAACAATTAAATTTTACTTAAATATATAATAAAGCTTATAATATAAAAAAAAAATAATCAAGATAATTTGAGCTTAAGAGCTAAACAAAAAGTGAATAAACTGTAACAAAATATTACTTGAACATTGCTCACATTTTAAACTTCAAAATTACTATCAAGCTTACATAATCCAATTTATTAACTAAATCATTTTCAATAGATAAAATTTTTAATTCATTCAATTTTTCTAATGTCATAATTGACCGAAAGTAATTTTGAATCAACTTTAAATTCAAAAGGTTTTTTTCCTTATGTAACTAGTATAATTAATTGTATTATATACACATTCCATATATTTGATAAACAACTCTCTATTAATTTCAAATAACTCACAATATCAATAAACTTTTTGAATTTTTTCAATAAAAATAATTATTTATTAGTTTTAAATAATTTACCACATCGACTATCTATTAATTTTGAATTTTCACCAAATTTTATCAGGGCCCTTTTTTTGGGACCTCCCAAATTCAAATGGAATTTTGTGTGTGTGTGTGTGTATAGACACCGGCTAAAAAAAATTCGAGGTATATTTTTCTAGGAAAATGGCTGGTAGCTCGAAAGTGAAGGGTCGAATGGGTCGAAAATATTCTCTTACCGGTAAGAGAATATAAAAAAAGCCTAAAACGACGTCGTTTTGGGATTTCGAGCCATTCGACCCTCTGATATTTCGAGCTACCAACCGGTTTTGATTTTTCTACTCATTTTCCAAAGCTCCAAAGCGGTTGGTTTGTCCACTTCGGGCCAAAGCCGACTATATGCCCAGTAATTATTTGATGTGTGTAAGATGGATGTTTCCAGGTCTATGAAAGCACAAAAATCTCAAAGACATATTCTAACGATTATGAATAAATTGAGACACAAAGACAAAAGGTTTTTGAGACAATATTCTTGATCTCATGAAGTGTTTGACCTTCTTATAGGTGTTTGTACTTGTAATTATTTGATGGAAAATTCTATTATACACACCCTTATCATATGTAATCTTAAGTTATGTCATTTTTTTTTTTTCGTTATGATCAATTTTCTTTTTTAGTTATAACCATGGTTTTGAAAATCAGATCGGACCAGCCGGTTTAACCGGTTGAACCGTCGACCAGGTCGGGATTCTGGCCCGGATATACCCATTAAACCATTCGATGCTAAAACCCGACCTATTTAGAGAGAACTGGAAAAACCGGTTGTTGAACCGGTTCCCCGGAGCCGATTCGCTGGGTCAATGAAATTGAATTTTTTTTTTTTTGATTTCTTCTTTCTTTTTTTGTTATTCTCTCTTTCTTTTCTTTCTTTCTTATTTTATATAATATATATATATATAGAAAAATACAAAAGTATAAGAAAAGTTTAATTAGAAACTCTCTTTCAAGGGTTTTCTCTTGTGAGGAATCTCATTAAGAGTTTAAAAGTCTCTACCTATTAATAAGAAAAAAATTCTTTCAAAAAAATTCAAGAAATCCATGTGAGATTTAATCAAATGTATTGAAGGGAATATTGAAATTTTGATATTCCTCCAAATTTTTTGCTATTCTTTCAATTAAATTATTTGAATTAAAATCATATGGAGGGAATATTGAATATTTGATTTCCTCTTCTAAAATTAAAATTAATAATATTTTAAAATATATTATTATATTTTTTAGTAAAAAAAATATTAGGAGAAATATTTAAGATTCAGTTGAATTTAACAGAATTTTAAGAGTATTTATCAAGGGTATTTTGAAAAATAAATAAACCAAAAATGTGATAGTTTATACCTAATCAGGTCTAGACTTTATATAATATATAATAATAACAGAAAAAAAAAAAAAAAAGTTTACAATGTGCACCTTCTAAGATATAATTTCTACCATTTTTTTTTTTTTTTGTTGACTATAAAAGTATTTTTCATTAATTTTCATTTTCAATCAAATCAATCACCAAAAAATATAGAAAACATATAATTTCTATCAAAACAGAGCCACAGCTTTCGAATTCATGTACCACTATGAGATTTAAATTCAATGTTTCTTGGAGACAGAACTTTAAGATCATATTAGTTCACAAATTATTTGGAATGTTTAATTAATCAGGAGAGTGTAACTTTATTTATTTATTTCTCAATACAGTCTGCACATCTTTATTTATTTTGTAAGCACTATTTCATTTGTGACTTCGGATAGACATAGGTTTATGATTGATATTTCAGCTCACAAGTCAAGCAGGGACAGTTTTTTAGGCTTGTTTAATTTTTGGGTTGGACTTGGAATTTAGATTTCTAGCCTACTCTACAAATAAAATATTTCTATAATTTTAAATGTATTATTTATATAAAAGTATTAGAAATTAATTATTTATAATTCCATTCTTCCAAGAATTTTTTAGTTTGAAAGCTTATATTATGCTGTTGAATTTATTACCCAATTTTTAACAATTAATTATTTAAGCTAACTTTGTTTCTCTTTTGTGTTGCCGCTTATCCCTTTGTTTTTCCCTTTGTATGATGACCGTTATTATTGTTATTTTTTCCTTTTTGCTCATTTCACGAAAGGCCTATGCTGTTATTTATAGTGACCTCAATCTCAAATTTGATGAGTGGCTTATAGATGGAATCAATTTCCTCCTTTTTTATTTTTTTATTTTATTAAATCACATGTTTATAGGACTTGGGAATTACAATGTCCTTAGGACTAGGCTTGGGGGAAACTTCCATTTGTGCACCAATTTTTTTTCTCAACTAATACTAATTTTTTATGTTCATATATCAATTATTGAATACAAATTAATAAATCAAATATCAACTACATAACAGAAAATCAATTATTCGGATATCAAGTATTAAATTGGGATTTTCCATTTGGTAGTTGATATTTGAACTATTAATTTTTGTCCGGTACTTGATATTTGAATAAGAAAATGGTGTGAATTGAGAAATTTTGTGATGTAGAAATGGAAGCTCCTGTGTCTGGGTTAACCACATCAGCTTGATGCTTCGGCTGCACCAAGTTTGAGAAGACACAAAGGCCATACTTGTTTGGGCAGACATATGCATGAGATTGGACTAATAGTCTAATCAAGTTATTAATCCGATGTTTGGTTAAAAAATTGAAGTATCGAATAACAATAAATAATAAATTATGGCCTTATAAATTAAGTTATAAATTAAATTTATTTAAAAATAATAAATTATAAATTATGGCCTTATAAATTAAATTTTTTTAGTGTTGTTGAAAATTTAATTTATATATTAAATAAAATTATTTTTTATTGTCGTTAATTTAAAATTATATATTAAATAAAAAATATAAATTATAAATTATAAATTTAATTTAATTGAAAATAATAAATTAAAATATTAAAATATTGTGCAAAAAATAAAATAAAACAAATTTTTATTTAATTTAGTTAAAAATAATTAAAATATTAAAGCTATGTTTAATATTACTATTACTTAGTACATAATTGAAAATGATAAAATAGTCATTTGAGCATTTATCTTACTCCATAATATCTCAAACAAACATTGGATAACTAAAAATAGTTCAATCCAGACATCTAATCCCATGACTAAACAAACATAAGATACAAATTTAGTCCAACCCAATAGTTCCGGAACAATGTATCCCAGGACTAATAGTCCGATAGATTACAATCTCCCCTTATCCAGTCCGTCCAAACAAACGCACCCATACAGTCTTTTCCTTATGTATTCAACCACATACTTTCTTTCTTTCTTTTTTTTATAAAAAACCAAAAATTGGTACAAGAAAATAACACTCCTGGACAAAACGTTAATACTCTCTTTACCAAAAAAATAAAATAATAATGACAATAATAATAATAATGAGACAAGCTTTTGATTTTTTTTTTTAATTGTATTTTCATTTTAAAATATGGCGAGACTATTATAAAAATTAAAATCCTAATCTTCCACGTAGCCATCCTAATAATGATATTAAAAAAAAACTTTTAACTAATCTGAATAAACTAATATCAATTTGTCAACTCCAATTTTCAGAAAAATTATAAGGTGGTCTTAGAGTATTGTCACATAGTGTCTCAACTTGATATTATTAGTTGAAATTGTGGGATCTAATTTTTTTCTTTCAGATTTTTAGAAGACAACTTTACAAGTGTCAAGTGTCTAGTGGTTTGGAGCATTGCTCCTAAACCACCAAATAATCTGTCCATTTTTTTATTCTTTTGTGAAGAATAATTAAATAAATCTATAGTATTTATAATCATTTCTACTTGCAATATAAAATGTCTGTCAAAAATTCATTTTTTGTATTAAACGTGACAAAAAAACATAGGCTTTGTTTGAAAATTTTGATACTTTACTAATTAAAGCTCATATACCTACCCACCTAATTCTATATTATGTGAAATCTCACCTAAAACCTAATTATATATCCCTGACCTTTGAATTTATTTTTGTTAATAAAGTCGTTTAGATTCTCACAATAGCTTCAAGATCAATCAATTAAACTGAGATTTGTGAACATTCAAAACATATTGTATTTGTAGATTTAGTGGAAAGTATGAACAAGACTGTCCATCTTACCCTCTTAATGTCAAATTTAAAGAGTCTTGTACATTGTTTACTGACATTACCAAAATAAATGTGTAAATTTTTTTATATTATTGTTTGCCAAAGGTTATTGAGTCGATGAAGAGATGATTAGAGTAACTTGTCAAAATCAAATGTCGCCATTTGTTCGTTATGGTGCAAAAGAACATATTTTTCAACAAGTTCAAATTTCACATCACTATTATCTAATTAATTTCTACATAATCCCACTCTAAATCAATCAAAACCTTCCTCTTCACTAATCCAGATGAGTACTAAGATTTTAAATCTTTGATTTCTAATTTTTTTTTTTTAAATAAATAAATTGTGATTATTGGTGTAATTTAACTTTTGTAATTATAATTTTTAATATTAATTTGTTAGAAAACACTATAATTTTACAGATGGCTTAGGTTTGTCATTTTTTAACAATGAGTTTAGCTCAGCATTGAAAAAGAGTGTTGTGAGGTGTAGCTCAAAATGAAAAAGAAACACGAGGGAATTCGATCATAAATTCAAGATTTATTTTATTAAATCTGAGTTTTTTTTTTTTTTTTTTTTTTCAATTTTCCAAAATTTTTTTTGCAATTTTCCAAAAAATTCATTGATAAGCCAAATGAAGTAACTGAGGTGTTGTATAAATATACAGATACATGATACATACATATATATGTGTATAATATTTTTTATAACTGAAGTGTCCTAGTCAATTTGCACGCAACTCGACAAACCTCAAGATTTGGAATTAACAACCGGGCCGTGATACATATATTAGACCTTCAAGAAGTCACAAATAGCCAGAGAGAAGAAACTGCATTTTATGCATAAGATTGTTGTCACAAGATTGTTATCAAAGTACCCAATCTCCCAAACATTCACAATTCAAATAACAAGTTACAATGCCTCAAGGTTAGAGTGTCTCATAATCTAGATTGGGACTGTCATCTGCAAAATTCAGAACTGAAAACTAAATAAATTTAGACTCTCCTTTGAGGTTCTCTATCCTGCTAAAAGCTCGTGGAGTCCACAAAATTTATGCAGGGATCATGTTGAACTGAAATCTAGACAACTGCTGCGGAATGGTGGATATAACCGGCCCATATCTCTGCCAACAAACAATAAGATTTTTTAAATGAAAAAATGATTAGGCAGTATTCACCACAGAAACTATTATCTCCCCATCCTGCACTCTAACAACATTGTCCAATTTAGACTAGGCACTCACGGTGATGGCTTTAAAATGCATTGTTTTTTTTTTTTTAAGAGGGTTAAAATGCATTGTTATTTGGAAGGAAGGTTAACTCACATATATAGCAGGAGTTTTTCTACCTAACCAACATGGGGCGGGATGTCACAGAAATGGACTTGGTGAGTTTTCAAATTTTGTTTTCTAAAACTTCTCAAAAATTAGTTTGGTAACAAAATGAAAAAACATTCATTTTCATATGGTTCTCTCTTGTTAGGGACAGAAATATTTTTTAAAATTCAAAAAAAAAAAATTTGGTGTTTATTTTTGTCAACTAATATTATATATGATTTTCCTATATATATCAGAAGATGTTCGAAAATCAATGTCAATAATGATCTGAAAGGAACCTCCAGTTTCCATACAACAATTAAATGCAATGAAGTCATAAATTTGACTCCAACTAGATTGAGGCAAAACTGAAATCTTAATGCAAATTTGAAATGATGCGTTGGAGTAGTCTACTCCCACATAACTTCTAACAACAGGAAAATTCTGTTTCCTACCATACCTGAACATTATCGTAGAGTTCAAACAATGGAACAGCAAGAAGTTTCAAATTTTTTGGCACTGCAAAGTACTCTCTTTCAGAAAGGTGAACAAGGAAAAGTTTCTTGCATTCCTATGAAATTACCCAGGTGAAATGATTAACTAGAAGTTTAAAACTTAAAAATAGTAGGCAAACAAGGGAGGTGAAGCAATTCAGTCAAACAACAAAATAAAATGAAAAAATCATAATGCAATTCCATTGTACTTGGCACGTTTACCTTTGGTTTTGTAATATGGGGAGGGCAGTATGGGTACATTATGGTTTCGAAATTTGGTCTCCACCAGACAGCTACACACTCACCTATCTGCAATGGCATGACCGTATTACAAGAATAAGGATCCATTAAAGCCTATCATATATTATAAACACATAATGGAGTCAAAGGAAAAAAAATATGGCATCCAGTCATTAATTTGCAGCAAAATGTACCCAATACATATAAATTATGGAATTTCACGTGTCCCTACTGACTTCTAGTGGAATTTTTGTACGTTGCCCATTTATATTGTGAACTGGCACTCACACAAACTATTCAAACTAACAATACCTGCCAGTCTGGCTGAAGAGCAGGTGAATTTGCACCAAGTTTGCCATTTAGTTTTCTTTTCAAACCTTCAACCTCTGTAACATTAATAAATGAGAATGGATGCTAGAATCAACACTCAAAACAACAATTAATCTCGTGGGCTTTTGTACTGCATAAACAGGGAAGAAAACATATTTCCGTATCAATCATAAAGGGAAATAGAATAAAATTGCACCAGTCTCCCCGGGCTTTAGACGCCCACCAGGAAGTTTGCAAAATGTGTTTCCAATTTGCAGAAGAAGAATATGGGGATGATTGTGCTCCTGCACCTGTAAGATCAAGTAATCTATTTAGCATCTAATAACAAAATGTTCAACATATATGCCACATTTTGAATCTTTGTTCCTATACTGAAAATATATAGAAATGATATGCTTACAATCATAACGCATATTGATTTAGCTTGTGCTAAATATTGAAAGCAGGCAGTGGTCTTATCTAATCAGCACAACGTTGTGAGATCCATAAGCATGTATAAAACTATAAATAATCTAAATCATCTTGCAAGTAAATTAAATGAAAATATTACATACATTTACTTCCACAACAATCAAACACTACAGAAAATACAGGTACACAGAATGACACACACAAACACAGTATAAACAAGGTTGTCAGCCAATCTAGTGAATTATGAACCATTTCTCTATACAAATATATATATATATATATATATATACACGACGTGTGAAATAACCAAGAAATAGTAATTACACAGCATTAACAAGCTATACTTCTAGACTCCATCGCATGTTCATGGTAGTTTCAATCACAATGGTGCAGCCCACAAGAGCTACACACACACACAAATAAAAATAATAATAATAAATAAAAAAAGAAGTAAATTTAAGGAAGCAACTAAAATAGTTGCATTTCTAGTCTAGTTAGAATAATATATTATGGTTACCAAATCAAACAACACCAAGCCTTAAGTCTCATCAAATGGGGTCGGCTACATGAATTCTTCTTTGAATCGATTAAATGCTAGGTCGTTCCCCCTAAAGCGACGCGTTGAGCCTGCCTACGGGTGTTTCAAAAAGTGAGCAAGGGATACCCCATCGACGCCGAGGTGCGGTGAAAAATGGGCAAAGATTTCCGCCTTTTTTTGAACGAGCGCAGATAAAGAAGCTAGTCCAAGACTATAGGTTTAAAATAATATATCATGGTTATTTAGGATATATTATTTGGTCTATTTCCCATGAGATATTTAGTATTTTGTAGGTTAAAGGTATCTTGGAAGACATGGGTATTTGTTTATGGATCTTTTTTTGTTTCTAAATAGGAAATCTAAATCTTACTAAGAGAAGTTCTTTAAAGTCTTCCGTGGAATGTTAATAATTCATAGAATTGATATTTTAGAGAATTTTCAAAGCTATGAAGCTTTCTTCAAATTGTGTGATGCAATCAAACCTTAGTTGGGTGGGATTCCAATGGGATTTGAGGTGTAATGCCTAACCTTTTCTTCTTCTACACTACAAATTTATGTGATTTTAAGCTTTTAAGAACCTAAAACAAGATCTGAATAACTTTCCTATTACCCTTAGCCTTGCATTGGTGAAGTCTAAACTATCCCTTCCTCCAATTATACAGTGATATCAAAAATCCAAAATTTGCAACGCTAAATTCCATCTTTTCACAACCCATATCCCTTTATCCCACATTTTGACCATAAAAACTAACCATAAGCAAAAGCAGCCCTAATCCCTTTTGCTGCTATCCTCCATTTATTTGGGCTCACTAGGCAAGTATTCCCACACACGTTCAATATTATAAAAAGAAACAACAGATTGTAGTTCCCCGAGCAATATAATCCACCAAACAATAGTTTAAACTCATCTCAAGGAAAGTCTCTTAATTTTGATCAAAAAAGAAAAAAGAAAAAACTAAAGCAACATGCCCATAACATCTTAGTTTACTGACAGAGGCCCCATGAGAATAACAAAAAATAACGTATATGTAGAAGTTGGAACAAGGACCAAACCCTTGCCTGTCCTTAATCTGAGCTGGGAAAGCGTCTTTAAGTCGCATCGAACCACTACTTTATAAAATCTCCAACTCTGTTCTGTACAGAGGTTGGTGATTCAGGTTGCCTAATTGTCCTATTTCCATCCCAGATCAGCTGGGCAAAAGGAATGTTTTACAGGCGCAATTGCAATTAATGTTGCTAGTCTGCAACATTTTCTGTACTGAAATAGACTCCAGATACATTGACTTCAGTATAATGATCAAATAATCTCACCAATTACTAATAAAGACAAAAAAATAGACGCTTTGGACAAGATTTAAATGCTCCGCATTAGAAACAAAAGAAAGAGCGCACACTATTAACTACAGTTACTACATAATCCAAAAGATAAACTCGATCTGTAAGCCACAATTTGCAATGCATTTCCTTGTCTAATTATTGATCTGCTGTTCTGATGGTGGACCCACTTTTCCGTGATGACAAAGTGATGTGATAGCTCTATCTCACCCTGGTACAACAGAAATATCCCTTTGCAGCAGAAATGTGGATCCAATCGTACACACAAATGCGTAGGAGAAAACAAAAAATGAACTTTTTGAGTCTTTTATCTGGATGCAGTGAATGGTGATTATGTTGATGGAGGATTGCTTTAAACAACATATGCCATTTATTAACTTGTCATCCCAGGGAATTACAACATATGCCAATTATGAATCAAACACAATCTGAAAATTTTTGGAAAATTATCTATTTGATTTTCAACATTAATGTTGAAAATCTTGAACATGGTTTAATGGTGAAGCTTCCAAATGGAATATAGCAATTATCTTAAGAACAACCTCCACAGTACTCACTTCACCCTACAAGGTATAGAAACCTAAGTGGTCAATTGTGGGCTCACAGTAAATATTGAAGAGTTGCTATTAGTTACATGCATATCAAGTAATCTGTGTTTTTTATTTTTCTTTCATTTCTTCCTCCTGTGACAAGTTAGTCAAACTGTGTATCATTATCATAGTGTCCCCCAAATGATTGTTTCAAACAAGAAGAAATTGCCAAAAAAGTCCATAAGACCAAAGGTGTGAATAAATTAATGAAATTTGAAAATTAAAGAAAGAAAGAAAACAAACCTTCTCACAAAGATCCAAATATTAGGTAATCAATTGGCCTTGCATTTGGTTTTCCGAATGAGAGGAAAAGTAAAGATACCATATTTATAGATAAAATAAAAGCCTAAGAATGCAGCAATTTCATATATGTTGCCTTCTCTTTCCAAAAATCCAAGGTAAGCCCAATCAAGATATAAAAAAGAATCCTCGTATATGTATAGAAAACATCAAAATATGCCAAATGCAGAAGATATGGCCCTAGACATGCAAATTCAACCTCCATTTACACCATGATAATATGAATTTCTTGTTGCATAAAACAAAAAATAAAAAGTTCTTTCCTTTTCGAGTAATGCAAAAACCTAATTTCAAAACAAAACATCTATTTCTTACTCTAAATCGACGACTTCTTAGTCAGCCATACCCTTACAATTAGATTTTAGGAACTCAACCATTGTAATTCTGTCACGTGTCATGAGCACCGCGGTCAATATTTCAAGCCATATTCCACAAGTCATGCATCAAACTAGCATATTATATGCAAATGTAAACAATTTTGTAAGGAGAAACTATCACACGCCAGAATGAACACCAGCATTACTCCTTTATGATCATAAAGTGAAGTACTTCAAGTTCAAAACTCAAAAAATTGTTCACATAAATTACAAGCAAGAACTAAATACATGATTAGCACTAGAAAAAATCAAAATGTCAGAAAGTGAATAAGAGAGTACCAGTAAAATTGCTTCGACGCTAGTCCGCATGCCTTCTTTCATATAGCTGTAAACACAAGTACAAAATCAAGCAATCACATCAAATAACAAATAAGTAAAGAAAATTGGGACTCAAATCTCAAAAGCAAGTACAAAACACAAGGATTGAGTACGATCTAGGGTTTATCTCGAGTATATAGCGAGAGAGAGAGAGAGAGATTGCTTACTTGACTTTCATACGAGCAAGGCGATCGGCGACTGAGGTGTCTTTCTCCATCTTCGGCTCCTTCGTCCCGAAGGTGTAACTGGATAGTGGATATGTATTCACCACCGGCGACGACACCATCTCTCCCTCTCTCTCTCTCTCTAGAAGTTGCAGGTGAAAGCAAGGTCGGGAGGGAGAAGAGAAGAGAAGAGAAGAGGGGTTTTGATTTCGAGAGTTCCGTGTACCTTCTCAGTTCTTCCAAGACGGTACTAGACTACAGTTGGGCCAGACATCACCATTTCGAGCCCGCTGAGGTTGGCCGGCCCATAAAACCATTAATTGGACTTTATTCCTTCTTTTTTTCGATGAAGAAGAAAATTTTCATTCTAAATCTATAAAAAATCGGATCAGTATCTTACGGCGGTAACAAAATATTTGATAAAAAGATAACAAACTTCTATGGGAAGAAGAATCCTAACCTTCATAAAGGAGGAGAAAAAACCCTCACAGAGGAGGAGACACAACCTCCACACAAGGAGAATTATTACTACAATTCCTTCAAGTTTATTTTAGCAAAATTATCGAGTGGGTCAAAAATTTTAACGGTATTTTTCATTATAACAATGTGTGATTTTTTATTATTTCTCTTTATATATATATATATATATATATATATATCAGTTCTTCCAAGACGGTACTAGACTACAGTTGGGCCAGACATCACCATTTCGAGCCCACTGAGGTTGGCCGGCCCATAAAACCATTAATTGGACTTTATTCCTTCATTTTTTGGATGAAGAAGAAAATTTTCATTCTAAAATCTATAAAAAATCGGATCAGTATCTTACGGCGGTAACAAAATATTTGATAAAAAGATAACAAACTTCTATTGGAAGAAGAATCCTAACCTTCATAAAGGAGGAGAAAAAACCCTCACAAAGGAGGAGACACAACCTCCACACAAGGAGAATTATTACTACAATTCCTTCAAGTTTATTTTAGCAAAATTATCGAGTGGGTCAAAAATTTTAACGGTATTTTTCATTATAACAATGTGTGATTTTTTATTATTACTCTTTATATATATATATATATATATATATAAAATTATGTATGATTAACATATTTCTTAAATTTATCAACTATGAAAAAGTAATAATATACATTCATATAATTTGTCTACAAACGAACGGGTTGATTATAAGTGGTGTTTCCTCACCAGGCAAGATTTCTCTACTGGAATTTTATCGTTATGCTATGCACCTTCTCTTTCTCTTATTCCTCCTCTATAGATAGTTAAAAAAAATAAACAATTGAGACCTATATATAGTTTTAAAAACAAAATGACCATTGATGTCTTCCAATCACAAAAATGTCACTATTCAATAATTAAAATAAAAATTTGGATAAAGTAAACTAATTTTTTTTTTTTTTTTTTGAGATTTAGAAAAATATAGTAAATCGTATAATTTTGATATAATTATACCGATATTCTTTTTCATAAGGTTAAAGGAAGGGTGTGAAACCACAAAACAATTAAATATATATTTTTTAGTATAAAAGATGTTGTAATACCATTTTTCATTTATATAACTAATAAATTATTGATAAAAAGAAAATGAAATATTATATGAATTAAAATTTTAAAAAATCCAATTGAGAGGGTAATTTATAAGTAAATTGGGCCGAGCTAAAGGCTTCTTTGGAAGTTAGGCCACACGTCAGACCGAGATAAGAGCTGTTGTAACTCGGTCTAAAAACTAACGAAGTTGGGCCAAATGAATTTCGGACCGAGATATGGGCCGGGGTGTTTGGGCTTCGCAAGTTGGACCTCGTCCTTGTTAGCTCGGTCAGCGACAGCTGCAGTTAGCTCGGTATAAACAGACAAAACCGAGGTACAAGAGAATAAGGGCCGAGCTAGGTGTTGCGTATGAAGGCACCAGATTTGAGTATGACAAAGGGCTAGTGTTAGATCGGTCATACTATTATCCAACCGTGGTAAAACTATCTCACTTGGTTTAAGCAGTGAGGAGGGTGTTGAGAGATAAGCATTATCCTTCGGGAGTGTGATTCTTAGGAGGACTCTACATTGAAGAATAAGAGTCTACTAGGATTGTGCCAGGCAAAAACTATAAAAGCTTATGACAGAACCAACGTACAAGTATCACAATTTTGACTCTGGAACGCACTAAACTATTTGTCTATTAAGCTGACTTAGGCATCAAAGAGATATCCGGCACACACCCGCCGGCTAGCTCACGTTTGTGTTTTCAGGGAGTGAAGCAACGACGTTTGGAGGAGTTCAAGCTTGATCAACAGGATTATACGAGAAGATTATTCTGCGCTCGTACAATTGGCGCCGTCTATGGGAAGTCCATAAAGAACAAAACCTCTTGATCAAGCCTTCCTCTCTAGTTGAAAGCAATGGCGCACAATGAAGACCTGCCGCAATCGGCTATTGATGGGCAAATCCCGGAGGGGGTGGGAGGCGCGAAGGTTTGCCTTCTATTCCTCTTATGGCAGATTTAGAACCCCAGTAACAGAACTCCTAGAGGGACGCAAGGGAGAGACGGGGCACTAGCCCCGTCGATCTCAAAGTCCTGATAAACAAAGGCGGAGGTTGGATCCTCAAGTTCTGGAGAATCGCGTGAGGGAGCACGACGAGTTAATTAGGAAGATGGCGGCAGACATGGAGACAATGAAGCGCCAGATAAAAGGAAAAGGAGTAGCGACAGGAGAGGGGCGCAAAGACAACACGCCCCTTCGCCATTCAGAGTATCGTGATAGACATACCACACCATCGCAAGCAGAAAATAGGAGCCTTAGAACAGGCGACACTCAATCGAGGACTTTCAGGACTCGTTACTCTAGGTCTGAGAGATCGAGAACTCAGGGATCGTATATTGAGGGTAGCACATATCGCCCCTCGCACACGCACCAGACGACATCTAAGCACACGGAGTTGCCTAGATCATCTGACTTGCGAACAGTACTTGAAGAAAGGGCCCGATAGAAGGAGAACACCAGGGCTCGCGACCGACGCAGAGTTTTGGCACTACAGCGATTGGCCCCTAGGACACATGGGAGTATCGAGATAGGAATGTCAATGCTGCGCCTTGCTTACAAACCAGCAGACAAAGTGTTGGCAAGGTTACAGAGCTCGCCGTTCGTTCCGGCAATAGAGAACGCACCACTACCTTCAGGCTTCCACCAGCCCAAACTCACTACTTATGAGGGAAAGACAGACCCCCACATGCACTTAAGCCACTTTCGCCAGGTTATGGCAGTATACCGGCGAAACGAGGCCTTAATGTGTATCTTGTTCCCATCTAGCCTTGGCGACCTAGATCTAACCTGGTTCGAAAGGCTACCAGAAGGCAGCATCGCCTCCTGGGCACAATTGACAGAGGCGTTCGTGACTAGGTTTAGAACGAACACCGAGACACCCGTGGAGATCGATCAGCTACTCTCCACTGACATAGGCGACAATGAGATGTTGAGATCCTACAACAGTCGATATTGGGAGACTTTCAACTAGATAAGAGATTGCCCCACAAATCTCGCCATCGCGCAATACAAAAAGGGTCTACCAGTCGAAAACAAGTTGAGGGACTCAATTACTATGATGCCACCCCTCACGGTGGAGGCCTTAATGGAGAAGGTGCACCAATATATCCACGTGGAAGAAGATAGCACCCGGGCTAAAGCAAAATCTGGCTCAACAGTAATGCCAGACAAAAAGACTGCAGCAAAGGTCAACACGTTAGAACAACCAAACAGGAATGGGCGAGGCAAGCAAGCCAGCAGGGAGGACCCAGAAAAAAGGAGGTTAAGAGTTCGCACTGCCATCACCACTGTGTTCAATAAACCTATCTACCGAATTCTCAGCAAGATAAAGAATGAACCCTTCGTTCGGCGGCCAGCCAAGTTGGGAGTAAGACAAAGGGGCTACGACGAGAGGTCCCGCTACACCTTTCATGATGAGAAAGGGCACCTAACTGAAAACTGCACACCCCTGAGGCAACATCTGGAAGAATTAGTAGCTGCTGGTCACCTAGACCAGTATATTGAAAGGAGAACACAGCCAGCCCCCCAGGACCTCAACGGGCCAAACGGGATGCCAGTGGACGAACCACCCCAAGGCGTAATCAATGTTATTCATGGGATCATTGAACTTGAGCGGGTATGTGAACTTAAGGGGACGATAAAGAAGGTAGAGCACCTGAAAGAGGTACTAAGTGCACAACCCGCCATCAAAAAGGGCAAAACAGAGGCTACGAACGTCATATCATTCTCACACAAGGACCTAGCAAGACTAAATTGCCCTCATAATGACGCACTGGTGGTAACTTTGCACGTCAAGAACTTCGACATCAAGCGAATCCTAATTGACCAAGGAAGTTCATGTGAGATAATGTATTATGAAACCATCAAACAGCTGAAACTAGAGGACAAAGACTTGCCCCCTGCAATATCCCCCCTAGTTGGCTTCAACTCAATGCCAGAATGGCTAATAGGCAAGATAATCCTCCCAGCCAAAGCTGGGACCATGACTAAACAAGTGGAATTCTGGGTATTGAAGCTCCCTTCCACTTACAACATAATCCTAGGAAGAACATGGCTGCACGTCATGCGATCGGTAGCGTCAACCTACCATCAAGGACTGCGGTTCCCCAATGAAACTGGAGTAATTGAAGAGGTCTTGGGAGACCAAATCATGTCAAAACAGTGCTTCGTCACAGTAAATGGCAGCCGAGCCGCAAAAGGATATGTACAAATGGTAAAAGAGCCTGAGAACAGTGAACTATTTGCAGATGTTGGCAAGGCAGCAGAACAGAAAGGGTAGTGGAGGACTTGGTTGAGGTAAGGGTAGATGAAAAGAACCCAGAAAGGTTCTTTTTGCTAGGCTCGTCTCTGTCCAGCACTGAGAGAACTGAGTTAATGGAATTCTTAATCTCAAATATCGAAATGTTCGCCTGGACGCCATATGGCATGCCTAGTATAGACCCTACCTTCATCTGCCACCAACTTAATGTCCACCCAAACGCCAGACCAATCATATAGCGCACTCGCAGATCAGCACTCCACCACGCGGAGATAGTGACAGAGGAAGTGGGAAACTTGCTGGAGGCAGAAGCCATCAGAGAAGTGCACTATCCCAGGTGGATATCCAATACTATAGTAGTGCCAAAAAAGAATGGAAAATGACGTGTTTGCGTGGACTACAAAACAGTCAACAAGGC